AAAACGTTTTATCATCACCAGACGAGGTGACATCATCAGTGCTTCACTTCAGTGCTACTTCATAGGTACTGATGATGTCACCTCGGCTGGTGATGATGATGAAATGTTTGCAAACAAATTGCCAATAGCTCGGCAAACAGGTGAAATGGAAGTAATAAGTATATCATTGAAGTCTGGTAAACTTTCCTTGCGATAATGCGGATTCACATGTTATGGTTGGATAAGAAACTTATATATATATATGTAGGAATTTGTGTCAGCTCCACAGGAGTGTGCTCGGAAAAACGTAAGCATTCCATTATCAACGAATGGTTTCAGCAAACTCGGTTTAAGACAAACAATGGTGAGAACTCATGTTATGGTGTTTGTTATGATCTAGTGTATGCAGTCTTTGAGGTCCAATGTCAGTTTGCACAAACAATAACTAGGCACTTTTGTGCGCCGGATTTGATTGCTATATTTTGGCTGCCCATTTGGACAAAAAAAAGAAGGATGAGGATCGAAAAGATGAAAGATTTGTCGAAGAGAAAATGTAGAATTTCGGTAGACAAATATCGCAAAGAATTTGAGAAGATGCATGGACGCCTTTGTTTACAACACTCAACGTCTTTAACCACCGATGACAAGGATCCCCAATCGAGGAAGCCTAACACAGTCTATGTGAACAAGTATCGTGGTCAGGGTTTTCACACCCTCATGTCAACTTTGAATTGGACTACTCTTTACCTATTTCCAATCCTAATGTTAGACGATCATGATTATGACCTTGGGGAATGATTCGCCGAAGACAGACAGCTATGCCAGCAGTCATTAAAGTTCAGTAATCATTTTTTGTGATGATATAGACAATGATGTGCTAAGGGCAATCGGTTCCGTACATTCCAAATACGAACACCATGAATAATGTGAAATTTCTGACGTTCATACGAAAATCACATTTTCTACCGCTTCTACTGAATTCTTTTTGGCAAGTTAATGGTTTTATAGAATTTATTCATCTATGAGGTTACGGAAGATTCAACGGTGGGACAATTGTCACCCTATACAGTTCAGAGCATAACATGCTTACAAATAGGTTCATTTTGGATTCCCTAATTAAAATAGTTACTGAAAGATACAGGTGCATCGGGAATTCTCGTACACCAACTACTCCGGTTCGCAAACGGCTCAAGTCGAATTCTCAGTCTAAGTGCTGTAATAGTGTAGTTCTAGTGTATTATTGTGTGACTGTGTCTGCCAATCGCATCAATTAAGCTGTCCCCAGACCATCTCACTGCTATCTACGTTGCATTCAACACGTAGATGCTCGCACGCTCGTGCACAAATCAAACGGAAACTGTGCAATATGCATCTGTGCAAGCAGAACTGCAGGCTAATGATCTGTAACTTTTAAATACCGGTTGTCTGCAGCCCTAAAACTGACTACTTGATGTACGAGAATTCCGGATTCCCTTGTACACCTCATCAATCTAGTGAAATTCAGATCAAATTGACGGAGCTACAAAAATGCTCTATCGGTTCTTGTATTTTCCATATGTCTATTGGCCCGAATGGTATTGGTTGTATGGATTGTACAAAAGTGAAAATTCTGTACCTGTGTGCGGCCTTCTCCTATTCAAGTCCACAAGTTTCTCGTCATTGAACTGCATAGTAATCCGTGATCAAACACATGAACCTAACCTGAATATGGTATTTTGCCCCGATGTACTAGATTTCCGCCTACTGGTTCTGTGACATACGGTAGCTGAAACACGGAGTGATTATGGTTATAACATTGTTAGACAGACAGACGTTCTGACCATTTGTGATGGGCATTAAGTGGACGTACCAGGTTGTCTGAACCGGATTTTAGGCACCCCGGCCTAGCCCCCCCCCGCTCCCCCGGGTTAGTCAGACAAAACCGCAGTGCACAATTACGGACTGATGATTATATCATGGCTATTTGCCGTGCTTTTTTTGCCCACGCGAGTATATAATAAGGAACAATAGAAGAAGTCTACCAATCAAGTTGGTGTGATTTTTGCTCCCCAAAAAATCATATCTTTTCTATCTCAGTAATGATCGTATGAAGAAATAATTAGTCCTTTCTCACCTCCTGATCCTCATCCTCTCAGGCGAGTTGTGTATTCGTGACAGATTGAGCGAGTGAGGGAGGTTGGGTGGGGAACCCAATCCGTTCCAATGTCAGCTATTGCCTCAGGGCTGAATACGTTCTGTTCATAATTGTTCGCCCGCAATTACCTCACTGTACTCGGGAGGAAAACCGACCATAAAAACAGAGGCAAGATGCAAACTTTCCCAAGTACGCAAACGTGATTTTAGTAGCAGGAGTAGCAGCAGCCGGTATGTCTATTCATCGATTATTCACAAAACGATCGGATCGTGAACTCAGATCCGGAGAGCATTTTCCTAGCACAGTTGACAGCACTTAAAAACAGTCCTCTTTCAGGACTCTCCCCACCAATGAAACATGATCCATATGACTGGTGAAAGATTGAAATATAGGAAACTATAGATGATGAAAGCTAATGTGTACAAACTCATTCAATGTAGGCTTGGTTTTTATCGTTAACTTCTAGATTGTGAAACCCATTTAGTTCCGATTACAAGTAGCTGAAAAGAAAAGGTGAATGGAACCAGGGAACTACCATCTGATCCTGAGTGATTTTTGCTGTCCTCAAACGCTTGCGGAACATTCATAGGACATTCGCACGAGAGAACAAAGATTTTTTTCGTTCCCTGTTTTTTATACTATGTCACACGTTAGTTTTCCTACGCTGCACAGTTTCATTAGTAGTGGAATTTTTATTGATAAATTAGATAACAGTTTCTCAACCCCAATCGACGTGGTGTTTAAACCTTAGTTCTTAGAGAATTAAATGTACCGGGTCATTTCAAGTTCACTGAGGTCATGTACTTCCAGTTTTTTTCGACTAAACGGTGAGTTTAGATAAATATTAGATTAAAATGCACACTAATTATGGTTTCATTTGACTCTGTCGTGGAACGGAACAATAAATCCACCAATTGACTTTGTCCGCCTAGATTCCGATTTTCTCAATACAGTAGCTACAATAGCTAGATGCTCGTTTTAGTCATTCATTATCGCCTGGTGTTTTCTACAACAGATTCCCACAAGTCTTGTTCCAGCGATTCCCAAGTCAAATATTTGTCTCTGAGTAGAAACTTTCTATCGTTTTGTTACCTAACCTAGTTAACCCCGCGACCGCATGTTGACTCAAAGCTAAGCAGTCTACATGTTACCATTCGAATGACTGAGCCGCAGACACAGTAAACATTGACAACAAATTTGTAGTGAACTACCGGGGCCAGTTGAATAACTGCTGTTGTTGTTGCTTTTGCTGTTGCTGTTGCTGCTGCTGTTGCAAATAATGTGTTTCCAGGTCCACAGTTAGGTTCCGGTAATGAATGAACATCTACGAAGTTTTGCTCACAATTTTCATAATTTTCACCTTGTCTTGAAATAACCTACTTTTGTATTTTGTGTGTTTCTAAGTTTGTATGACTTGTGTAAGCTTATATGCTTACATTTCAGTTAAACTGTGCACGGTTCGTCACGACGCGGAATAAAATATACAGTTTCATACAACCTATAAAGTAAAACATGTCGCTGAAGTTTGTTTTTCATGTGCAGCGCTTCTGATGTAATTCACTTGAGAACTATTCCGTTTTTGGTTAGGAGTCAGGCCAGATAGGGTACAGGGAAATTCTCATAATTGATATTACGAGAAGATTGATGCCGAAATGAGAAGCGCGTGGACGGATGGGAAAGACAAGATGATAGATCGGGATGCAGTGGATGAAGAGGATCATCTAAAATCTAATGGGCAAATTTAACACAAGAGTTGATGTGTGACCACTAATGAGTTTTGTGATCGATTAATTGAGATTGAGATTAATGATTCACGACTGATTATCAGCAAACTTCGACGAATTGTTTTGCAGTCTTGTTTTAAAAGACCGGGAGACACTACAGGGGAACAATAGAGAGAGCATAGAACGGATCAACTCATTGGTGAACGAAAGAGGATAGGACTGATTGTGGGGTTCAGAATTGCCTCAGTTTGCGTAACTGAAAACCAAGGCGTCTCGTGTTGATAGAGAGCTAAACCGGTCATTCCACACAGGGAGTACCTTCCATTCACTCAAAGACATGCAGACACACACACAAAAAACACACGTGTTCAGGTCCGTTTTTATAATTCATTTCGTTGTGTCTGTAGACACCCATATAGTTGACATGTGAGAAGAAGAGGGTGAACTGATTTGGGTCAACCTCCGAGTACAGAACCCGAATAAAGACACGGAATAGATGTAATAATACCACGGCTTTTGACAGTGGATTCAACCATAGATCAGGCTGATACTAAATATGTCAACAGAAAAGTCAAGACTGTTTATTTAATCATGCTAGGTCATGACCGGATCACCAGTCGCAATGTTTTTTTTAACTAGCACATTCCAAGACAATCAGTCTATCCGGTGTGACACGGGTAACCATATTGCCCCTCAGCTACCACCATCACTCTTCGTTTTTTTCTGGGAACCTTTTCATCCGTTCATTTCCTGCTTTGAGACCCGGAACAAAAATCTCATTTAGGCACCGCTCACAATGCGTTCTATAACCTCAACTCGGATTCGGCCTGTGTGTTGTAGCACTGTGAGTTCTTGGTAAAAGTAAAAGTAATGTAAACCCAGTTTCCAGTATCATATCAAAGCACAATAAACAATTATTTTTCACTTACAATCAAAGATTTCACAATTAACATGTTGGGGTATATGTAACCGGACGAGAAATCCAGTAGGCACCTCATATATATCATATGTGTGTGCATTTCTAATTGGGCAACCAAACAGGAAATGAAAGGCAATAAATACTTTGCAATTGCAGATTTGGTGTAACTTTCGAGTAAACAAAGAATCAGCTGATGCGGATAGAAACTCAGCGCTGAAGTTTGACCGATTGGAACGGATTGAGCATGGAATATAATAAACAAAACAGAAAGTGCTTGGCTGCGCGCAAATGTCGTAGTGGCAGTGGTTGTGGTTATGGTGGTGGTGGTGGTGGTGTTGAGGGTGGTGGTGGTAGTGATGATGGTGGTGGTGATGGTGGTGGTGGTGGTGTTGAGGGTGGTGGTGGTAGTGATGATGGTAGTGGTGGTGGTGG